AGTATTCAGAGACAGGAATTTTTGTTAACCCACATCAATATTTAAATCAAATGTTGAACTGATTCTTTTTACAAGCCTACGAAATAAAACTTGTGGATCATTACTTCAGTCAATAGTTATTTCACAATGACAGTTAGTAATGGGCCTAATGGTAACACTTCATTAGTGACATTTGAAAGCCTTACACCTGTACATGTATTTCATGCACCTTGCATCATTTCTTTACAAGTTGTCTAAAGAACATTATGTAAGCCATAATCAGTAACATTTCAATGTTGTTCTTTGTAATTTTAAAATCAATGTTATGTCACTGCAAGTAAACCATACATTCACCTGAACTGCACTTGGAAAGATGATTTTGGAAGATATCTTTTTAGCAATATAACATCTGGGCATACATGAACAGTCGGTGCTTTAGTAACATGCAGTGACCTAAGAAAAATAATCATAGATTACAACTTATGCACAGGGAAATATTCATCCAAAGAAAAGTAAAGAGTGAGTTACAACAGAAGTATTTTTTACAAGCAGGAAAATACTCTGAAGGCTAAAAAATTGACTGTTCTCACCAATTATTCAGTGGACTTTCCAGAAAAACCATGTCATAAGTATGATGTCATTGTTACAGCATTGATAAATAACACAGTAGTTGTTGCAATTTTTACAAGTAATTTGGCTAATTTGAAAAACTTTTTTTATCAAAATACAAATAAAAATGTAATCTAGGTCATGAGAACAAACATTATCCAATTCCTTTTCCTTCACATAAAAATGCATCGTAATGCAGGTTGGCTTCCTCTTCAGTATCTTGGGTATCTTACTGACATCAAATTCTCTCTTTACAAAAAATTAAAACAGAGGAATAAAAGGCAACAAAAAACAATTACACTTTGTTTCCCCTTGATTCAGAAAATGTATACTGTGAGTTGTTTCCTTGACTCTGTCCTGAACACTGAATTGTAACAGGTCGACCAGGTGATATTATCCTGTGAAAGAAACACAGTGTGTACTGTAAATATCCAGTGACCTGAGTCATCTATACACAGTTGACCCTTAAATTCACAGGATCTTTACATTAATTCTCCCCTCTTGTTGCTACACATTTCTAGTTGCTACAGCAGCTTAAATAATTTTGTGTTAGATTAAGATGACAACTTGCACCTGATAAGCTTGAGTATTCTCATTACCTGTTTGCTGAATGGTGTATGGATATCATAGGGAGAAGTTATATGTTAATCACTTCCAAGGGTTTGATGCTGTAAAAGTGGTCATATCTTATCACTTATTCATCTTTGACATTCTAGAAAAACTATGAGTTGGTGTTGACAAAAACAAAATAAGTCAACTGAAAATTATTTGGTTTTATCAACTCTAAGCTAAAGAGTTTCCAAAGCTGATGTTTCAAGTACTAGCTCTTTGTAAGAGCAAAAGGCTCTGATAAAGGGCTAATGTTCAATTACAAAGTTAGACAATCAGGCTTCACCATTTTAAAACCTCTACATGGTACCATGGAGCAAAGGCAGTTGGAAGATAGTTGCACATAGCATAAAAATACAGTAAATCCCTGCCTATTTAACTGCCATTCTTATCGTTCATTAAGGCTACATCAAGTACACAGTATTACTTTTTTGGCAAATGATATATTTGATGTAATATATCAAACACGAGGAAGAGTGTTTCATCCGACATCCAAACACTGAGAAGTGGTTGAGAAAACGAGGCGCAGCCGAGTTTTTTTTAACCAACTTCAAGGTGTTTGGATATCGGATGAAACACCCTTTCGAATGTTTGATATAGCTTCTCAAACCATTAATAATTCTTGGAGAAAATCAAAGCAAAAGTTCACCAGATTTTATGATAATTAAGATCACATATCCAAACCTCCTTCACGGTTGTAATTTCCTTTGTTTTCTCATCATGAATTATTAATGAGTTTGAGAAGTATAAATGATGCCTTTCCCTCGCACAGTATCATGATGTTATGTATATTCACACCTGAATGTAACATTAACTTCTGTTTCACCAACAGGCACTGTGGAGTTTGTAAATTCTACACTTGTCAAGCCAGGACCAGTGTCCAAAGTGCTGCAAATGACTGTGACCTGAAAACAGATTTTGATATGAGCATGAACTCTTTAATAATAGTAATGAACTGTATAGTGTTTTATCCTCTTGACAAGTAGTATTGATGCAATGTTTGAATAAGGTGAGTTGGTCTTTGTGGAGAAAACAACTGAAACTAACTGGGGGATTCAAATACTCCTTCAAAGCAAGTAGAGAAACTGGCCAAAAACTACACCCACATACAACACAGATGTGGTAATCAACTTTAAGAGTAGAGATGGGAAGAGAGGGAGAGGGGGAGAGGGGGAAAGGTGGAGGGGGGAAAGAGAAGAGAGATGAGGGACAGAAAGAGAGGGGAGAGAGGGGGGA